CCGGAAAAAAAATCACAATTTTTGAAGAGACAGCCTAACATGCTATCCCAAACAGGCTATGAGAATGTACCCAGGTGAAGTGCATACTGAACTCACTTATATCCGTGATATTTTATTTTTCGTTGTATCAGTAGTTAAAAAAATACTGACAACTTTATGTCCTACACTTACTGTAAATATGAGTATAAATATGTAAAAAGCTGAACTTCAACCAAACATCAAATCCTCTAAAACCATTTTCCCTCAAACTTTAAAAATTCGTCACCTAGAAAATATGTGATTTTACAGTACTATTAAATTTAAAACATCATTTGTGTTTTTTATATTATATATATTATTACACTAATAAATGAGTTATTCTCTGATCAAAAATAATTTTCTTCTTTCCTGACTCACTGTTAATCTTTGCTTTTTCCAAAAATGAATCTTAATTATTCATTTTAAAAAATTCAAGACCTCAATTTCTAAATGATTATGGAATAGTTATACTGCATTCAATTTTTATCCCTGAAACAAACAGAGAATTCATTGAAAATGACATTTAATGCCAACAGTTAGCCTTCAAAATACATTGGTTTTTTTTTTTTTGTATTCTGACGTCTATATCGAATTAAAAAAAAAAAACATTCCATTTTAACTATGTTGAAAGCTGAGAATAAAATACATATATTTGTAAAGAATAACACAAACTATGAACAAAAACAAAGCTAGGAGACAATGGCACAGCTTACCTCTGATTGTCGACAAATTCATTTAAGTTGACATTTGTTATGTAAATTATATAAATATCACACTCTTGTTGCACTTGCTGGTTACATAAAGTGCAGAATAAACACGACAAATTGGTGTGTCGTTCAGAAGTCTGACAATTCCAGCATTCTCAGATAACAGGTTACTGTCCTAAACAAATACTTATATATCTGTGTCCACTAATTAAAGGCTTTACCATAAGGTTTATTCATTGGAAGTAAATATTAAGGGATTGTTGATACCGATAAAACAGTGTAATAAATATTCAATTGGTATTCAATATTACCTTTGGTTCTGACACTATGTTTGTTGTGGTTGATCTACGATTACCTGCTCTGCCTTTGTTTTAGACATTAATTTGGAAGATCAATATTAATTCTTGACAAGGAATAGATGAAACTTAGTGGTTACGTATGTATATTATAAGGACATCTTTACTTTTCCCTTGATAGAATTCAAACAATCCTCGTTCTCTTTTGCAAACATTAAAATATTTATATAAACTTTGTTATATTTAATCAACAGATACTCTTGGCTCATATACTTGCTTGGACCCTTGGAACACACAACTAGTAACCAGTACCTCCAACAATTTTGTATAAAGTTCTTTCTTTAATGTATAGTCAAATTAACAGCACGTATTCTGAATGGATAGAAAGAAAACGTTAATTTTAAAGGAATTCTTATATTTCAATTGGTGATATGAATTCTGTGAATGATTATTCCAAATGAAGGGCTAAATATGAAGGAAACTTTGAGAATGACAAAAAATTTATAAGATGGATATCAAAATCTTGTACTAAACCTTTGAGTGGCGTAAAAGGAACATGCATAATATAATTTTAATTAAAGTAGCGGATGTATGATTTTCTTTTGTCTGTTAAAAATCGTATTTAATAACCAGATGATCTATAGAGAGTTTGTGACTTTAAATTATCCGAGTATGATATGAGGAATACTAGTATAATATTCCTTTGACTCGCAAGTTATTTTGGCAAAAAACCTATACGTATGAGGACCCTTAAAAACAACAGGAATGCATTTTGAATGATTAAAAATATAGGACACGGGGTAGTGTAGCATTGCAATTTTTTCTGGATAGTTCCACAAGATCACGAAGATTCAGCGGATTAAATCACCATTAAACAACTATTAGTTCTATTAAAGAAGTTTGGAAATGGTAAGCAAATTAATGTGATCTGTAAATCTGCTTTAAATGTGAAATAACAAGCAACTTTTTTGTAACAAACCAGAAATATACAAATACCCAGGTGTACGTACATCTTTAACCCGAAGAAAATCGCATAAAATAGATGAAAAAGCCTACAGCTGCAAAAGGATTTGACAAGACATAAAACGGGTTGTCTTTTCCTAAGGTAGTCTTAACCCATTCTAAATCAGTGCTAATCGTGAAAAAATTGGGACAAACACCCGTAGAGGCTAATGAATTAAGTTTGGCCTTAAAACTTTTTATTATACGATGAATAAAAATTAAGTTTGGCCTTAAAACTTTTTATTATACGATAAATACTATAGCTTGAATTCAATTATAGTAAAACTTTCCTTTCTCAATGGAATTAAAATATCTTAAAATCATTAAATCATACTATAAGAGAATGAGGAATCTAATTTAGCCCTTGGCCATCGTATGTAATTTGTCATTCAGTTTTGGAACAAAACATAACATTTTGTATGGTTAATATACATGAAAATTGTATTATGCATGTTAATTTATCGTTATTAATTTGAGTCAATGTTCATCAAAGGAAATCTATTTTTGACTACTAAGAAACGTCAGTGTTCCGTGACAAATGGTCGGGATATTGACAATGTTCTGGGGAGATTCTCATGAACCAAGTTCGACTGTCAGATCTTCATTATTTATCTTTGCAATTAGAAATGCTAATAAGTCTGGTAACAGTATTTACCTCGCATGTCAGCGAATCAGGTTACTCTGTTAGGTTTATGTTTCTTTTTAATAGTTTTCTTACCTACTTGGCCTTCTTTTGTAGACCGGTATACAGATATATCATTAATTTACACTATATGCAGACATATCACAAATGTTTTCTTGTCTTATTGTGTAATAAATAAAATTAAAGTACTAGAGGTGTCTGAAGATATGAACAAGCCTACTGGAAATACTCTAAGGTAATGTAAAGATTTCGGGAATTCAAATTTGAAAATTGGCTAAACGACTACATCCTTCAGCTTAAGATTTAAAAAAAAAACCGTTTTGCACACATTTTGCTTTTTTAATGTTTTCCCAAGAAATATAGAGTTAGCAAATAGTAATAAAGCCAAGGTCCATTGAAACAATATAAATCGGAATAAGAGCAAACACGGACCTCTGTAAACATCAAAGGTGGGATCAGGTGCCATGGAGGAGTGAGCACTCCGTGTCCACTAGTCACACTCACCGTGTGCTCCTTGTCATGATCATGAAAATAACAAAATGCGTATAGACAAGTAAGCAATCTCTGTCAACTGTGCATACACACCGTGTGCTTCTTCTCGTGATCGGTAAAACAACGGGAAAATACGTAAACAATTCATTTAGTAAATAACGGCAAAAATGTTATAAAAATGACAGCCAGCTTTTGACTTAATGATAGATTGTATGAGTTGACAAGGTTATTTTATTGACAAAAGAACTCGCGAAATGTGGGCTTCCTTCGACATGTTTAACAATAGCTTGCCTCTTTAAATAAGAAATCATCATTTAATTTCAGCGAAAAATGAAATCTCCTACATTTTACTCAGTTAAACAAAGGGATACATGTATGAAGAGATTTCTTCCTGAAAAAAATCTTCTAATCAACAATATCTTCCAAAACAAAAATAATAGATTCCATGCTTTTGAGAAGTTGCATGTTTTTGTACCTTTTGATTTTTACATCATTTTTGACCCCTCTTTTTCTACATGAATTAAAATACATATTTACTTAAAAACTTTAAAGGTCGGTGTAGACACTAATCACAGACACTTTTTGACTAACGTATGAAACAGACCCATATTGGTGAAAGGAAAGAGAAATATGCCCACAAATTGATTTTACAGAATATATTTGCTTTGATCATGAACTTCAGTTTACATCTTCGTTAAGATTACATAGGACAAGGGGAAAGCGAGAGTGCGCTAAGAAGAGGGAAAATATAGTCCCTACAAGTGATTTTTGGACCTACAGACAGACGGACTGAAGATTGTAGAACGAGGCTCCGACAAATATCGGTAAACGAAGAAGCACGCAAGTTTTTTTCTCATTGTTCAAAAATATCCATTGCTTACCAATTCGCTTCGAACAGTGAAAAATAACATAAATCATATTCAGAAGCATACTGATAAGATAAAATGAACACCAAAAAGGTATCTTTAAAAATCATGAGACAATTTAAAGATTCATGATTAGTCTCTTAAGGGATCATAAAATCAACTTTTAAACTCTCCAGCTGATGTTAACCGTACGAATTTATTAAATAATATTTAAACTTGTTTAAGTTTTTTGTGCTGTTCCATCAGAGAAAGCAAATTTTTTCTTGAAAAAAACCATCCTATCCGGGGGTAGAACTTACTAACAAACTACCAAGAAAGTGACCACTCGCATGGCGCCGTAGCTATAGAGCGTCTGCTCTACAGAGTCGCAGAATAAGGACTTGATCCTTACGTCGCAAATTTGAAACCCACTGCGGACGCGGAATCAGATCCTTCGAATGAATCCATATAAACCGAGGCTCTATGCCGCAGTAAGGTGCTGGCACGAAAAAGACCCCTTACTGCTCTATGTCTCTAAGAGATGAGTATAGATCTAAAATGCAGCAATCCACTGACAAGCTGTGACATCTTTAAATTAGTGAAATAATCTAATAAGGGCGTTAATCAAACAAACGATGCTACCTTACTCCGATAAAACAATCGCAGGAAAACATATGGGCGACAGTGAGTAAATGTAGGATGTTTGTATAGGATCGTCCTGCTCTGCACCCGATTTTAAGTTATTTTAATGGATTTTTGATCCTGATAACTGTTCATTATCTACACAATTGCATTTTAATCAATTTGAAAAAAGAAAACTTTAGGAACAACTTGAAAAAATTCGTTTTACAACACAATCATTCAAGTCATATTTATCTTCCCGATTATAGCACTGTAGTAACCATTTTTTAAAACATAAACCATTTTGTTATCTTTTTATTCATATAATGGGGCTAAAAATTATCTGTTATAAAAATTTAATTGCAAATAAACTTACCACTTATGAAAAATCCCGAGAGCATTGTGTTTTCTGGGCATCGACAACCCAACAAAAGGAGTCGTAAGGCGCCATGCACGGGCTGACAGCATCCAAGTCAACTGCAAGTCCTATTTAATTAGGTCTACATTATAAATTCATAAAGGGCATAAAATAAAAACTTGATTAGACCGCCATTAAATAAAACTTGTCAATCAAACAAAAGTCTTCTGATATGCAAGAATGTTAATTTACATAGGTTACTTTATCTCATGACTGAAAGGTCTCTCTGTTGCACTCTAATCGCTGGCTTGCTGACTCTTCCGTCTTTCATATTCCAAAATCTACAACACTGAATTAATTAACACTTGCTCGAAATCCGTTTTATGACAACAAAATAAACTAGGACAAAGAAACGGACTATGTATGCGATTTTGGTACATTTACACCTTTGCAAATGAAATACTTAGATTTTGACTATGGAAATGTCTTACCTGAAAAAGTAAAGATGCACAATGATTTTTCAGGGTTCCAGGGTGTCTAAATCAACTATAGAAAAAATCACCAAAATACTTTAAAACAATATGAGCTGCAACTTTGATGCCATAATTTTGTGTTCCAAAAAATCAACTATTTCAAGGACAGAGAAAAAGAACACTTACTAGTATGTTGCTTTATGTATAGTAGAGGAACTATTTACAAGCTCTTAATGATACAAAATTATATTATTGTTGTCCTGTGCACTATTGTTTTCTTAAATTACTTACAAATTTTCCATAATGACATATTTAAATATCAAAACAATATTCTCAAAAATACAGATTACTGGCTTTAAAAGTCTATTATTTCTCTGTTGATATTTAACTATATGTTTTTAGTTTCTTGTTTCGAGATTTTTTTTCCTTTTTTTTTCCCCCTCAAATTTCGAGTATTTCGTGCGTCACACCTTTACTTCAAGATTATGTCTCGATTTTTAGACATTTTTTTACAGTTGATTATTGGACTAATTGATAGACTGTTTGACTGATTTATTGTCTATGGTCTTCATAAAAACTTCATACATATTTGGTTTTATTTGGTTTGTAACAATGACGATTGTCATAGTATGATTAGACAATTAGATTAAACACGTATTTAATATGCTCCAAAGCAGGTTTACAAATAGAATACTTTTGATAATTAAAGGGTTGTTGACGTTTAAGGGAAAGCATACCTGATGATGTTGATTTTGAAGTGAGTTATATTCTCATACCATACTGGAGGTCGTTTCTGTAACAAAAGCAAGCCGAAAACGTTCATTTAATCTTATAAAATTAATTGTTCAAATCATTTTATTATTAAAAAAAAATCAAAGCATTACAAATTTCTTATGCATTTACAAAAATTCTAAAGACATTTCTTTATGAGAATTTTTTTTATATGTGTTTTCATTAAAATTTCGTCTTTTATAATGTACCTTGAAGAAATGATCTTAAGGTCATACGCAATGTAGTTTGAACTTTATTGGGTTCTTCCCTGGAGTTGAAGAGTTCCACTAAATGAAGGACCCGTGTGCAATACTTTTAATGTCTATATATGGATTTGTACACCTCTTCTAAAGCAATTTTTGATGAAAAAAATCTGGAATTTATGTTTTGTCATTTTTGTGCATTTTTCTTTCAATAATGCAAAAATTTTCACAATTGATATCTTTCAAAACCCCTGGTAACGCATGCTGATTTTTTGTCGAAGAACATGTAATGGTATTGTAAGTTTTTTTTAGAATGTCTTGAAAAATTATCAGTAGGTGGGGTACGTTGCGTATGTCCTTAAGATAATACTTTGTAAGGAAAGATTTTCCCTCTTGAGTCGATATACACATTTTCCTCTCTCTCTCTCTCTCTCTCCCCATTCAATATCCATAGATGATTTTTACATACTGTTTATTCCAAGGGTAAAGAAGGATTCTTCTCTGGTTCATGATTTAATACAATATACATGTATAAAGTATATTTGATTAAATGATTTTAATATTTATATTTCGTTATTGAAAACACCTTTTTCTTCTCATCAAACAGTTCTGCATTTTCACTGAAAATTTATTTAAACTCTAGCTGAGATCATTCTTCTTCAGGAACGTCAGAACGTCATGGAAAATGAAGTCGGTCTTCTTACTTAATCGTTAATACATTTTGCAGCATTCTGTATCCTTACACCAAAATACTTTAACATATGTGAAAAAAGCAAAATTTTATATACCGGATAGAAAAATATATATTTCCTGAAGAAATGAGAATAAAGGAGGAAATTCGGTTATCTACAATGTACTTGAATCAAAATATTAAAACAATCCGAAAGAATTGTCTGATGGTCAAAGAATTAATATCTTTCTTTTGTCATCAATTGATGTTAAAGAAATATATTAATTCTTTTTGTAGAAATAGAATAGGCAAGAGAAGTAATTTGCCTTTAAGGATCACTTCATTATAAATAGGTATCTGACCTATAGGACCGGGCTTGGTTTTATTCTCTACAAAAAAGCTTGTCGATTTCCGTTCTGATTAATGACATTAGACTGAATACATGTAATAATTTGTTTTCCTAAATCTTTATTTCGACTTGTTTGTCAATAGCTTGTCCCGTTGTAGAAATTGTTTATACATAGAGCATGCTATATTGCTTTATATCGTCATCACGTTTATCAAAAGGCTTTTTTATAGGGTTATCATTAACGTCTCTTTCATCCTAATATAAAACAGTCTTCGAAGACTACACAAAGTTAATGTTAAGAGCCATTCTCTGTAATATAGGCAAATACGGTTTAATATTGATATATAAAGTTTACAAAATCGAGCATTTTCCCTTCTTGGTAACCATAGCAATGGTGTTGTTTTCTTCATCAAATTGTTGTTTATGGACTGGTGTTGTTTTCTTCATCAAATTGTTGTTTATGGACTAGAAAAGTGCGTTTATCGAACCCGATGCAAATTGGCCTCTTCTTGTTGAACGGGTACTAGAGAACTAGAGAACACACCTCTGATATATTTACAAAACATGCACGGAATTATTAGAACAAAATAATAGGACAACTATATAAACTATAGTAAATGGCCATAATTTAGTTCCCAAAATGGCCGATACACTGCCGATGTTTCTGTATGACTATAAACTACGCCAATGTTTTTATAAAATCGAAGCATCTGATTTATGTTATGAGCATAAATTCTTTGTTTAGCCATAAACTAGTCAGTGACGCCATAAGTAGTTGACGTTTTCTACAAAGTCAATTAATACCGGTGAAGTTTGTGAAGTATAACCGAAATACCGGGTAATTGTTATAAATCAGTCAAAAGAGTATGATTTTTAAACGTTTATCGGGAATTACATACGTACTGACATACATGAACGTGATTTAATTTTGGCTAATTATGGGGTTTGAATTTTGATACTGGAGTTCGTCTTTGAAAAGTAAAAAGCCATTCTCTGTAACCACTAAAACTTCTTTTCCCTGAATGGTCACCAGTTTTGGTGAATCTTAACCAATTCTTAGCACTTGGCACCAGAAACATATATCAAATGAAATTTTGTTGCTGTGTGTCTTGGTTGCCATGGTAACAGCCGGGAAAGTTTGAGAAATTGAGATTTTAAGCTACTTTCTATCTTTTTTGAGCCTTAATAAAAAATGGGAAAAGCAAACAAAAAATTCTCACAAAAAACATGAAAATTTTTGACCGACCATAAATATATAGGTATAAGCAATATTATCCTACAAATAGTTTTTACGGTTGCCATGGTAACACAGTGTAACCAAGCAAAAATCAGTAACTAAGATTGGGTTAATGCTACTATCTTGAGGAAAAACATGAAAATTGAAGACTGCACGAAATATGCACCCTTAGTACCTTGCAACATCAACCTATATGTCATATATTTACCGCTAGTTTATTGGTCACTAGCTTGGGCTTCAATAGGTAGTTATAGATAACTCACGATGAGTAGGCCTAGCTGATGGAGAAGAAGGGTTTTACCTCAGATAATTTCTCAATCGGGGCCAAGACACAGCGCCTCAGTGATTTGGCTGCATTGTCACATGGTTCAGGTAGTAGAACAAAAGACGGATCTAGGCCTACCGTAATTCAGTGGACATATTAAATTAACAAATTTCAATACTTATTTTTCTGATTAACTCTCCACTTGAATCACTTCTAGTCATTATAGCATTTAGTTATTAGTTTGTTATGGCCTATTCGATAATTCACTATATGACTATCTAGATTTTGTCAGTGTTTGTTGTAAAAAATAAGCACAAGCGCTAGCCTTTGCAATAAAACTTTGTATAACCTGTGTGTTACGTTATTGTATTGTCAAGGTGATACTGGGGATGGTATGTTGAACTGGATAAACATGGTATGGAAAGCAGAGTTTCCACACATTAAATTAATATTCCCGTCAGCTGATCCTATGTAAGTTTGAACTGCTTCTGTTGTCATATTTTGTACTAATTTTTTTTTAGCTTAATGAGCAAACAATAAATATTTACTTTTTTAAAAGTCAATACACTCCTAATAATGGTCAGGTATCTACGGTGTGGTTTGATAGACAAAAGATTTCACCCTTTGTGCCAGAAAATTTATCATCTATAGATGCCTCAGCAACAAAACTGAATGAGCTGATCCAAGTAGAAGTTGATGGTGGAATTCCACTCTCAAGAATTATCATAGGTTGTTGTCTTATTTACATATTTTAGATTTACCAAAATAGAAAAAATGTTAGAATTTGCAATAACAACATTTTAATACAGTACATGTATATTTCATTTTTTTTATTGTAGATTTTTAAAGAACATACAAATACAATTTTTGTTCCTTTTTTGTTAGTACAAAAATTATATATTTAGTATTGAAAGATTTTAATTAATGTTTAAAGCTTAAGAAAATGAAGATTAGAATTAGAAATTATTATGAAACAAAGAAATCCTTACCTTAAAAAATTGAAACAAATTTGATATGATATGCGACTTTTTGGTCAAATACAGAAATTTCATCTGTGTTTTTAAAGTTTTCCACTGTGAACATACCTTAAAGATATGCAGTTTTCTTCAGGTGGTTTTTCTATGGGTGGTGCCATGGCATTACATCAAGTCTACAGGTATCAGAAGCAGGTAGCTGGCTGTTTCGCTCTATCAAGTTTTCTAAATGAAGGTTCTTTAGTATACAAGGTAATGATTCAGAAAGTATGTATATTTCTTTTGATCAATTAGTTTTTATGTTTATGAAAAAATACTCTTGGCCTGTGTCATTTGACAGAAATATGCACAGTTGTCTTTCTTGGATCACAAACGTTTCTTAAAGCAGAATTAAGCTCTGCCAAGTTGCAAATTAACAAAAGAATTTTTTCGAGATGAAAATATACATGCAAATTTCCCAGTTGTCATCTTTCAAAGGCGAAGAACTTTTATTTGCATTTTATTTGAATCCAATGGACATGTGCTATGCATGTTCCTGTGCAGTTTGTAAACAAGTAAACTTGCCAATATTTCTATTCCTTACACTGTAGTTAATTTTCCCAAGAATCCAGTAATGTCACAAGATTAATAACTTCATTTTTCCACTTTTTTCCACAAATGGTGTATAAATAATGCTTATATGGTAAATTAATATAAATTGTGCTTTAGATTTACCTTACATATTGAACTCCCCTTTAACCATTGTTACTTCTTTTTCCTTAATTTTTCTATTTTCAGAATGTTGAAAATTTGCAAAACAAGTCATCCCTTCCCCCGTTGTTTCAGTGTCATGGGACCAGAGATGGATTAGTTTTGTTTGATTGGGGAGCAGAGACATTCAAAACATTAACTAACTTAGGCATTCCCAGAGAATTTAAACAATATGATATTACTCATGAATTCAGTAAAAGGGGACTGAAACTACTGCGAGAGTGAATACTTTCAAAAGTACCTCCGGATTAAAGACTTTGCTACCTCTGTTATATTTCATTCATGCCATTTAACTTATCTAATATACTTATATTAACATTACTTAATTTTTGTTAGATACATGTACTTGATTAAAGTTTGTTTTTATGTCCTCAAAATATTTTCAGAAGTAGGCTATGTAGGAATCTACATAAGATTTTATAAATAATAATTGATTTAACCCGGAAAATAACTATTAATATAGATACTGACAGACTTGAGAAACGCAATGCTTGAAAATTTTCTGTATTGCAAATTAATTGTATTTATAAATCTAATGAAGAAATTATTTCAAGTATATAATCTACCATGTTCAATGTCTAATGTACGTTGATTTTCAACAAAAAAAGATACAGTTGTAAGGAATGTCAAAAACGTTTACGCTAAAAATGTGCTTTTGGTCTCCAGTACGGCCTCTATTGATGACGGCGCGAAGACGATGTGACTGCCACTCCTCCAACAAGGCTCTAACAGATTTTTCCGGGTTCTGAGGCTGGAAGCTGGCGGACGCGAACATGTCTCCCCTGCTCGTCCCACAAATGCTCGATCGGATTTAAATCTGTAAACTGGTACCCTGACATTGGTTAAAGGGCGCAAGCGCCCTGAAAAACCAATTACTAGCGGCAGCGACTGGAATCAAGGGCAGAGAACCAGGCCCCCAGGATCATAAAACAGACTTAGACTTAAGTAAAAGTTTCAATAATCTATAAAATCTTTAAAACTTGTTAAAGGACACTTATAATTTGAATATGACAGCAAATTGATGATACAAAATCGGAAAGCATTTTCATTTTGGGCTACTTAACCTTTAAAAAATTTCAGCAACTATGGCATTTTTTGACTTAAGCTTAAGATGCTTCATGATCCCGGGGCCAGTGCTATTAAATCTGGGGACTTAGCGGGCCAATCATGGACGTAGGTGTCGCTCGGTCGAGGGAAATTTCGTGTCAACCTTGCCGTATGTTCGATCGCATAGTACTGATGAAAAATTAACCTGTTCGGTGTTGCCGCGAAGAATTTCGTCTACCTTCCTGTTGGAAGCGAGGGCCCCGTTCAAAATAACAGTTTTATGAGCGAAAATGGTGGTTAATTGAACTCAAGACAATGACGCTACCCCATACCAAATTTGTAGCGTTTCAGGACACAGTTGTCAACAAAAGGCTGATGTCACACAGGTAAACTCGACATCTGCCGTCTGTATTTCTAACATTAAATCTCGAATCATTGGAAAAGTCAATCTGTGTCCAATTCTAGCATTGATTCGGATTTTGCCTGGCCCATTGCAATCTGTAACTGTAGTAATGCGTCTACGTTGTATCTCTTTGTAACAGCGGTACCATCATACCATGGCGTATTAGTATTCTAAACTCTATTCTTGTAAGTCAGTACCGAGTTTTACAAAAGGTCGTAAATTTTGCCGTAGACGTAGACGTAAACGTAGACTTTACGACTGAATTTACGTGTGCGTAGATAGCGTTTTACTAAAGGTCGCATCTGCGCCCGTAAACGTAGCGCTACACGTAAAGATTCCCGTAACTTACGACAGGAACTCTTCAGTAAAAGGTAGAAAAACTAACCTAGTAACGGAAGCTACGCATGCGTATGAGCTACATTTATTCAGATGAATCAAGAAGAAATATTAATTAACTGAAATGAACAGGCAGCATCATTAATCTTTTTAAATAATTATCAGTAAAAGAAATAATAGAAATAAGATGGGGTTTCTTGATTTTCAATTAATTTTGCCGATAAAAAATTAATTTTCCGAGGTGTTTTTTTACAAAATGATTTTAATTAATTTGCTATCAAAAGAATAAGCAATTAGTCTTTATTTTAAAAAAAATCAGAATAGATGTCAGTTGTGATTTTTGATTATCCATTTATTCTAGAAATATAATCCTAAAATGGGAGAAAGATATTAAAAATCTATAAGCCAATCAAGAGTTATGAACTAACTAATTGCATAATTTTTTTTTCAAAAATTACTTTTTTCAGGCTGTTTTCATAAGAGTACGAGTTAGGTTATGGGCATATTGAAAAGTTATACAGTACATGTATCTGCGCGTTACACGTGACTGCCAAATTAACACGCATTGAAAAATAAAACTCTGAAAAAAAACTTTCCTCTTTATATATCTCAATTAATTGCTGAAAATATTTTACTTAGTCGTGCATTATAAGTGTTTAGAGATTAAAAGCCCAAGCATTGTTCATGATAGAAAAAACATACTGTTAATAATTATATTTTTCTTAATAACAATATGCAATATTGGTTTGCTAAAACTTTCTCTAATTTCTTTTCTGTAAAAATTTGAAAACAGAAAAAAAACTTACAATCGACCCTCATAGATTGTTATTTTCTAATTCTCTCTCTCTCTCTCTCTCTCTCTCTCACGTATATAGTTTTTTTTTTATGTTATCAATGTACAAGAAGGCCATGTGATTTGCGATAAAATGTCACAGAAATTAGCACATGATCCGTGAATTTTTTTTTTTTTTTTTTTTAGAAATTCATTCTTTACATACAATGAATAACAAAGCACTGATAAGAGTATACACTGTATCATGTAACATGTCTGCATATAATAAAAAAAAATCTTTTACAAGAGGTGCATTCTATTTTGCATTTCTAAATTATGACGTAATTTTCTGTATCCATTGCGTAAATTCTTCTATGACGTCATATGGCTCCGGGAAAAAAGATAGGCCTTTACAGTGTGCGGTATTTTTTATTAAAATGCTTTTGTTAAGAAACTCTGTCATTTTTACGTGACAAATATAATTTTGCAATATCTTTTTTAAAAAAGTTTTCTTCCGTAAAGATGTACTTGTACATGCAGGCTTCATATTTATAGGTGTAACATGATAGTAAAATAAATTGCAAGTGCTCAAATTTTATTTATAGCGATTGAAATCGAGGTTTGTGTTTGTTTGTTTTTTTCAACTTTATATTTTCTTAAAAATTCATGTGACAACGTAATACCAATTTAACATGGGATTCCCCGTTTTTACGAGTCCTTTTTTTTAATTTATTTATTTATTTTTTTTTTTTACATGATACAGTATATAAATTTAATAATTGATTCTGTACCCCCCTCCCCCGCACTTGTGCCTATAAGATTTTAAAACAACAAATCGTTTTATGAATACTCTACACTTCAAAATTAATTGCGTATTTTTTTTATTTCATCTTTACGTAAATTTTCGAGTATGTCCATTAGGGCATTATATTGCACAAGTTGACATGTTATTATTATTCGATAAACTCCAGAAAAATCACGGGAAATAAAAATTGTAACATGAGATTGTATTAATGAAAAAATTAATGACTTTTATCCCCCAAAGATACATTCAGATTAAAGTACTAGTCATATTTATAAAGTTATAGTAATATTTATAAGGCTACGTGTTTTCCTACGACTGCTATAGGGCACACGTAGATTTTCACGTAAATCTACGTCAAATCGTAAGATACGACTTTTAGTAAAACGCAAAATCGGCGTAAGTTACGGCTACGTCTACGCTTACGTCTACGATTTGACTTACGACCTTTAGTAAAACTGGCTACAGGCCCGTAGGAAGCAATTTCAGTTTGGGTCAGGGGGTTGGGGGATGGGCACAGCTATTATATATTTTCAGTCTGGGGCACTATCAACAACCTAAAATTTCTTGACAAGCAAGAACAATCGTCATCAGGCATTATAGGCATTTTAAACATGTAGTAGCAATGTTTTCATAGTATAACTAAAGTTCACTATAGTATACTGTATGTTTTCTAAAGTATACTATATGTCGGCAAATTTATGGTTTATTCTACCTAAATTCCCACTTTTTGAAAATCATGTAGAAAAAGGTAAGATCATATGTGGGAATAGGTGGAATTTTGTGTAAACAAATAATTAACTATGTTCTTAAATTTAGATATTAAGTTGCTTTTTCTTGTAAGATCTTTTTATTATTTCAAAAATCCAAAATAAATCATATTTTCTCATAGTTGTATTCATTATTTTCTGTCTGTAAGTGGGAATAGGTGGAATTGAGATATTTTAAAAGTGGGAATAGCTAGAAGACACCAAATTTATCGGGGGGAAGGGGGGCTGGTTCCTACGGCCATGCATGTTATTTATAAAGATTCTAAAAGTTTAAGGCTTGAACAGCCGTTGAAGCTAGGAATCTCTCAAGAATTAATTTTATATTATCATAAGAAAAAATCTGACACAGTATAAACTAGCAATAATTAATTGCTTTATAATGAAACGTTAAATGTCACGAACAAGTTATGAAAGAAAGCTCTTGACAAACAAAATGATGAAACAGGGATTTCAAAAGCCTTGTTTAAAGTTATTATTTCGCAATTCTATTGTCGATACAATAAACTTGTCAGCAAGTACAATATATAAACATTATATATTATACTTGGTTAATGTTGCCTGATGTTTCTCATACCAATCGTTAGGTAAATATTTACACACTAAATCGTAAACGGATTTTCCGTTTATCCTGTTATCATTGATTATGAGAGGGAACACACGAATATCTTGCGTATATGAGACTGGCACAAATAATTAATTGATAAGGATAAATTGAAGTTATTCTGTGCATAGGCGTCGGAACCGGGGGGAGGGGGGGGGCTAGAGGGGCTTAGCCTCTCCCCTTTTTTGCAAATATATAATTATATAATATAGGCATTGAAAATTGGGGTTTACCTTTTTTTGTTGGTTTAGCCCCCCACTTTCAATTAGTCCCCCCTCACTTTCAATTTGCTTCCGACGCCTATGCTGTGTGAATCTGTAAGATATTTATGTTTTCTATCAGACAGTTGCTACGGGATTATGTAGAAAATAGTCCACTTTTTTAAAAATTGTGAGGAAGAGTGGATATCTATAATGATCTCCTGCAAGTATGCAAGTTTTCATTTAAAAAAATAACAAGATTCAGATTTAATTACCTCAAAACTGTTTATACTCGTACGATAGGATACAATTAATTCACTTGTGTAGCAAAATGTTAGTATTGAAAAATGAATAATTTTAATTTTATACGATCGAAGCCATAAAATGTTTTAAGTATGTGAAATTAATACCGTTATAGTATGTTTTTCGAGATCTTTAGCCGTGAATTGTTTTAATCATATTATATAATAATCATAATATTAATATTGTATCATATATCATATCATATAATAATATTGTTTTTAATATCATTAAGTAAAATTATTTTTGTCGGTTTACTTTGTTTGCCACTTAGCAGTTTTACACCGGTCATAAGACTGGTGTCTTCTACCTATTCCCACTTTTTAAAAGTCTCAATTCCACCTATTCCCACTTGCAAATAACAACAGATGTTTAGATAGTTAATTTGTTTTTACAGTAACTAGACTAATTACACCTGCTCTTTAGATTTACATGTATTTTGTACATATTAAGACAGAAAATGATGAATACATTTATGAGAAAATATTATTTATTTCGGATTTTTAAAATAATGAAAAGGTCTTACAAGAAAAAGCAACTTAATATATTAATTTTAAGAACATAAGATAAATAGATTTGTTGAAAAAGGCATTCAAATACAGTAGTTGGATTTTAGCATGAATATATTAACGGAGAAAAATATAATTTAATTCTATTAAAAATCCATTTTTTCTTTCAAATATTAGTAAAAAGTCTGATTTATAATTTGATAAAGCAAATATACCTGTCCTCTATTCCAATAGGTGTTCATTAATCATTGATTGCACAGTAATTATATGTTTTCATAGTTAATTATTTGTTTACACAAAAATTCAACCTATTCACAAACAAAATCTTTGCCTTTTTCTACCTGATTTTCAAAAAGTGGGAATAGATAGTTTAGAAATTTAACTATTACTACTGCATTATTTTGTATCCTTAAGCTTACACCAATACCTTAACATATGTGAAAAAAGCAAAAGTTTATTTTACAATTTCCTGGAAAGAATAAAGGAAGTTTTTCGGGTAGGTGATTATCGATTTAAATCAAATTAGTATAACAATTCAAAAGAATTATCTGATAGACCTTGTGTATTATCATATTTTGATGCAAAAAGGAGAGATGATTTTAACTTTTATAACAGATGCTGGCAAGGGAAGTATGTCTTTTGTGAAATATATGGAGATAAGGAACAGTATTTAAGCTAAAACGTCCATTAAACAATACAAAATAGGAGCAGAGCAAACACGGACCTCCAAAACATCGGAGATGGGATCAGATGCCATGGAGAAGTGAGCATCCCCTGAAGACCCGTCACAACCTTCGTGTATTCCTTGTCATGATAAGAGAAATGGAAGAAAAAACAAAGACACTTCAAAGTAAAACAATGGCGTAGCAATCAGTATGAAAAACATCAGTCAGCATTTGTCTCATTGATAGGCTGTATTTGCTGCAAAGTTCATTGTATTGACCAAAAAACTTGAGAGAAAATTACTTCAAACGAGACTGTCTATAACATATTTGCAAGTTACTAACTTACACTCAAACATGAATAAGATGCTTTATTTTTATTAAAAAAAAGATTGGCAAAGTTTATATAATAGTCCTTCTCACAGCAATCTCCCATGTCGTTCGTTACTCTCTCAGACATGGAAGAGAGTGTACTTATAGGTGCTTGAGGTTAAGACCCCCCGCCCCTCTTATATAGATACCGAGCCTTTCCCACTCCCCCCATAAATTATCTCTCTCTCTTCCGAGGTCTATATATGGACCCGGGGAGGGAGGTCCTGACCTCTAGCACTTGTGGTCTTTCTCCCAATTTATTGGCTGTTTTTTAATTTAATATATTTTTTCGGAATAATCCCATGCATGTATATTGGTTTTGTAAATAAGACTTGCTCTCTAGTTTCCGGTGACTAGTTCAACAGGTAGAACTTACTATCATACTATGGGTAGCAGGTGGAGGGTTTTACCTAGAATAATTTCTCAATCAGGGCTAAGAAACAGCGCCTCGGTGATATGGCTGCATGGTTCAGGTATTACAAAAGACCGATCTTAAACTTTACCCCCAAACTATTTTGGAATAATGGACATAATTAACTACAGAATCTACAGTTCTATAAAAAAATAGTATCATCTCAGTATCCTGCTTTCGACCGTATTCTATTTTCGACCTATTTTTCCAATCTGCTTCCCGTGCAGATTCCGCGCGGTAGAACATTATTTTCGGTTGCTACACTTGGAAAAATACCTTTGAAGCACAAATGTTGTAAAAATACCCAAAATAATTAATTCAACGGATTTTCCCCGATGGTTTTAGTCCGATGTCAGAAATTCTAGTCTTTTTACTCATGCACAGTTTATCTGTTGATTAATCAAAGCCGTAATCGCTTAATTACAAAGATTTTTTGAAGACATTTTTCTGAAAGAAAATTAAGATCTCTGTCAAAGATAGGCATGAATATTGAAATGAATGGGTGGATCAAACAATTTTTTTTCTTCCTTAAAAATGAGCACTTTCTTACAGATTTTTACAGAAAAATGCAACGTAATTTCATTGATTTTTTTGGGAAATGCACAGCTACTGACAGATGGATTCAACCAACGAATAAATGTATTTGCAACCAAAATATGCAACCTGTTCAATGATTTTTTGAAGGACAGACAATCATATTTTTTATTGTTTGGAATATCCAATGGATATTTATAGCCAATACTGATTGGGCTTTGATACTATATTTAGGTCGAAAACACAAGACGCTAATATTTTTGTAGGTAAAAATGAACCCTCCCCATATTGTGGCATATAAATGAAATAAACACAAAACTGCAATTTGAGTTATATAATTTTATTCATAGACACGTATGCTAACATTTTAGGCCCAAAGTTTTTCAACCTCTATAAAGTTTGCAAAAAATTAATAAATTACATCTAAATAGGTCGAAAATACAATACGCCAGGATACTTCTAACCATTAATCAGATAACTCACTAATTAAATTTTGTTGTAAAATAAGTTTGAATCTTTTCAAATACATTTTGTATATATTTTGTGTAATGTTACATGTATTCTATTGTCAAGGTGACACAGGGCCTGGTATTTTGGAATGGATAAACATGGTATGGAAAGAAGAGTTTAAGTTTCCACACATTAGATTAATATTCCCATCAGCTGATCCTGTGTAAGTTTCTGTTCTCAGATTTTGTACTTAATTTATTAGTTTAAAGAACACTCAAACGTTATATATATTCACTTTTAAAGTCCTTACACTCCTAATAATGGTCAGGTTTCTACGGTGTGGTTTGATAGACAAAAAATTTCACCCTTTGTGCCAGAAAATTTATCATCTATAGATGCCTCAGCAACAAAACTGAATGAGTTGATTCAAGCAGAAGTTGATGGTGGAATTCCACTCTCAAGGATTATCATAGGTTGTTGTTTTATTTACATATTTTAGATTTACCAAAATAGAAAAAAAATGTTAGAATTTGCAATAACAACATTTTCATGGATATCATTTGTTTTCATTGTAGATTTTTAAAGATCATTCAAATACAATTTGTTCCTATTTTGTTAGTACAAAAATTATCATTAATTTTATCATTGAAAGATTTCAGTTGGTTGTTTAAAGGAAATGCTAGTAATGAAGAATTAGAAATTCTGGTAAAAAATAATTTCCTTAAGAGAATAGAACCAAATTTGTATCTGATATATATATGCAATTTTTGGTCAAATACAGAAATTTCATCTGTGTTTTTAAAGAAGTTTTCCACTGTGAACATACCTTAAAGATATGCAGTTTTCTTCAGGTGGTTTTTCTATGGGTGGTGCCATGGCATTACATCAAGTCTACAGGTATCAGAAGCAGGTAGCTGGCTGTTTTGCTCTGTCAAGTTTTCTAAATGAAGGCTCTTTAGTGTACAAGGTAATGATTCTGAAAGTATGCATATTTCTTTTGATCAATGTTTATGAACAATACACATAGCCTAAAATTAATCACAGAAATATGCACACTTGTCTTTCCTGATACACAAATATTATGTTAGAGTTTTTAAACGTTTCCTAAAGAACAATTTAGCCATGTTTAATTACAAATTCAACAGAGGATTTTTTCAAGATGAAATATACATGTATTACATGCAAGTTTTCCCGATTGTTGCTCTTCAAAAGTGATTTTTTATTTGGAATACATTGTACATGTGCCAAACATGTTCCTGTGCAGCTCGTAAACAAGTAAACTTGCCAATACTTCTTAATTTCCTCCAAACTGTAGCTAATTCCAAGAATCCTGTAATGCAACAATTAAGAATTATTTTTTCTCTTCTCTCTACAAATGGTGTACAAACAATGCTTATCTGGTACTAGTAAATAAAGATTAATTGTACTTTAGATTTACCTTACATTGAACACCTCTTTAACTTTTATTAGTGACTGTCTTTTATGGGTGTATATCTGGCTATACATAATGGATACACCGAGTCTTGAACCTTCTCTTAATTTAATTTTTCTATTTACAGGAAGTTGAAAATATCCAAAACAAGTCATCCCTTCCCCCGTTGTTTCAGTGTCATGGGACCAGAGATGAATTAGTTTTGTTTGACTGGGGTACAGAGACATTCAAAACATTAACAAACTTGGGCATTTCTGGAGAATTTCAAGAATTTAACATTTTTCATGAATTCAATAAGAAGGAATTGACACTACTGAGAGAGTGGATACTTACTAAATTACCTCCAGATTAAACACCTTAATACCTGTGTGATATATTTCCTTCATACAATCTTCAAAGAATTTAATCACAACCTTAAATCACTTTAAATATTGTTAAGTTTTTAATGACAAATGAAAATCTACTTGTTTTTGGTTATAAACTTATTGATTTTACTTATAGCAAATATATCTTTTACTTATATTAACTCGATTGGATTTAAATCTTGGGACATAGCGAGCCAATCATGGACGTTGATGTCCTTCGGTTGAAGGAAATGTTATTTCAACCTTGCCGTATGTTCGATCGAATTGTACTGTTGAAAAATTAACCTGCCTTGTCTTTACTACTGCAATAATGGTGCTAACACAGGCTGAAGAATTCCGTATACCTACCTACTGGAGGCGCGGGCTCCATTCAAAATGATTAGTTGTTAGCGAAAATTGTGGTTAACTGAACTCCTCCAAATCTGTTGCGTTCTAGGACACAGTTGTCTGCAAAACGACTCTAATCTCGACATCTGCCGTCTGCATTCATTGCTAACAGTAAATCTCGACTCATTGTGTCCAATTGGCGGTGATTTAGATTTTGTCTGCCCACCTTGTAAGGTCCTCCGCAGCGGATACCATGAATTATTACTATTCCAGAAACTTTTCATGTACTTAAATTCTAAAAGTAAAAGTTTAAGGCTTGAACAGTTGTTGAAGCGAGGTTGATTCTCACAGAAATTATTTTTGTATTATCCTGATAAGGAACAAAAAAAATCTGAAAATTAAAAGAAGCAATGATTTATTGCATTCTGATAAATGTGCTGACTTCAATTTTTCTATCGTCAACTTCCCCTGCTTGAGTAGCAATAAACCCTTATCACGTGAAATGTCTCCTAAGTTGATTCGATCCGCAAGAGCATGTTCCTCGAATGAAAAATTTTGAAACAAAGAAAGCTCTTGACAAATTGATGAAACTTGGAATTCAATAGCCTTGTATTATTTTGCAAGTTCTATGGTCGATACAATAAACCTGTCAGCAAGTGCAATATAACATTATAAGTTGAATGCTGCCTGGTGTTTTTCATATCAATCGTTAGGCAAATATTTACACACTAAATTGTAAACGGATTTTCCGTAAATCCATCATTTGAGGAAGCTATCATATTGTAGTTTTTTAATTAAACGGGTGGTAGTAAATACAAAATTTACAATATGACAACTTGTCATATTGTAATTTTTGTATTTACTACCACTCGGTAGATAAAAAAATTACAATATGACAAAGCACAAGTAAATCATGCGTACCATATAAGAGTGGCACAACTATTAATAATAAGGATAAATTGAATATATCCTGTGTTAATATGTAAAAAAAAAAATGTGTCCACATCAGAAACTTGCTACGGGATACTATATGAAATAGTCCATTTCCTAAGAATTGTGATGAAAAGTAGAAATGCTATTATGAAAGTATATTAGTTCTCATGAAATATGTACAAGTAAAATTCAGACTTAACTACCCCCAAAACTTCATTTATAATTATTAATGAAATTGAGCTAAGACCTTCTAGTATAGAAAAAAATGTGTTACAGTTGGTGTAGATCAACTTTTACTTTTTGGAGTGCAATTGATATTATTAGAATAAAATAAATTGTCTAATGTAATAAAACGTTTGCAAAAATTGTTATCACATGTGCAGATGCCATTTTTGTGCTATATTGAGGAAAAATTATGTGTCCGTTTCGTGTTCAACAATAGTAACATTACAAACATGCTTTATAATAATAATAAAGGAAAAACACTCTTCCCATATATATAGGTGTTCATTTATTCGAGGGTTGTTCGTGGACGATGTCAATCTTCGTTAAATTACTTACTAGAAATTTAAAATAAGCACAATGGATAATAATACATCCATGTCCATATATAATATAAATATTTGTTTTGTTGATGTGTGAAGTTTCATTGCATTCGATTCAACTGAAATCAATTAACTTCATTTTAAAATCAACATGTTTTGTACCACCAGAGCACACTTAAGGTAGGATTCTTCTCTAGTTTCTGACTAGATGAAACATTCAAAGTATATTTGCTTATATGTCTTATATATTGAGGTGTGAGGAATTTAAAAGACCATATTTTTCTTCCTTCATCACAATTGTACAACTTTAAATAGAAATGGAAAACTGCGTTTGAAAACTAGCAGGGACTATTTTTTTGGCGGAATGGTGACGTATGAAAATATCTTCTTTTCTGCCTCACAGGTGCTTGAGGACAGGACCCCCCCCCCCCCCACCGATATAGACCCCCGGGCCTGTTAGACTTTTTTCACATAAATTATATATGGATGACACATTTGTGATATAATCTATCCTATCAATTCAGAAAATTTGCTTAAAGTTACATTTTTTTTTATAAAAATATCTACCCTCTTTATATATAAATTAACCTTGTTGATTTTTATATAAAGAATGTAGGGTAGATTTAATAGAACGTTTGTTTTAGGTAATTTTTCGATTTGTTGCTATAGATCTTATCACAAATATGTAATGAAAGATTTTTTATGAGAAAAAAATCGAAAAAGCCCAGGGGTCTATATCGAGAGGGGGGGAGGGGTGTCCTGTCCTCAAGCACCTGTGTTCTGCCTCTCAAAATTATAATAGAACAATGAATTAAATTATAATTTTTACGCAATCGAAGACTTGGAGAAAATTTCAAATGTAAGTTAGATTAATAATGAGGGACTAAACTTTCAAAATATGTCAAATAAATATGATTTTCCAAACAAACTAGAACTTTGTTAGCTTTTAAACGCTTCCTATCTAAGTGCAGATTTGATCCAAAAATCCATAAAAAGTTTTTTTTTTCTCTTATGAAACGATCAAAACTTTTTGTTTTTGTATCATTTTGTACATAATATAGGAAGCATTTGAAAATAACTAATATATCCTAAAAAATTAACAAAAACAGAGAAAATTCGGATTAGCCAATATCCAGTTGTTAAATTATTTATGTAAATTTGGTAATATCATGCTATAGACCCGATATAGTAATATGTTTTTATGCAAAAAGAACATTCTTTAAACTTTTGAAATAGAAGGAGGTATCACATGATTGGCAACAGTATTTTTTTTATTCTTAATGTCAAGAAAAAAAGATAATGACCTTGACCTGACCTTGCCTCTAATATAAAACGGTCAAATTTAATTTCACTGATAATATCGCTTACTGATATTGTCTTCTTGATTCTGTGAAAATTTCATTAATTTTTAAATATTAGAAATATGAGAGGAATCCTACCTTAACGGCAATGTAACGTCAAAACATAGCGTCAAGAATTTCTAAAAAATACTATCACTATACATTTCACACAGTATAATCCAATGCCCAATCAGTAAATCTTTTTTTTTAATACTTGGCATCTTTTGTTAAAAATTGCTCTCGTTATATAATTTCCTCTGTTAAGGTTTTAATTTCTTTTCTTACTTTACTTTTCTTTCACAGGATAAGCAACTCTGAAGCGCCTACGTCTTTCATTGACTTTCCAACTTTTTAAAAAGTTTTTGTTCAGATTTTAAAAAAAAACGTTTCTTCACACAGATTGTCCTCATCCGATACAGAGTCTCTGTCACTCAAATACTGCCTGTACTAATTGTACACACACGCACAACTTGCTTGTGACATATTTTTTTTTTATTTCTTCAACACTTTTTGTAGAGTTCATTCGGGATTTTTCATGAGTAAAACACGAAACTGCATCGTTATCTGCTGCTATATACGTGACGTTCTAAAACGTCATCGTTTTTGTCGTTTCAACGAGGACAACCTATCTTCTCAAGTTGATTTCTTTTCAACAAAGCAAAATATTGAGCCATAATTTGGAATACGAATCAATGTAACAATTCTTAATTTCAATTTCAAGGTTGTTTTTCGTTTTTGCTCCAATTTACAGATTGTTTCTAACTAAATTTTGATCTGCTCCGCGATCAGATTTTTGAATTTATAAAATCTTTTAAAATCATTTGCATTTATTGTTGAAATATTTCTACTGAATTTGGATAATATATGACTTCAAATTAAAAACAAAGGTATGACAGAAGTCCAAGAACTTTTCGAACAACCCTCCTACATAGTTAAGAAAATGAAATCAAACCTCGCTAAAAATTATGTTCTTAAGCTCTCGGACACTCTTATCATAGCTTCGATGACAAGGAGCATACGGCGGGTGCGACCGGCCGACAGGGGATGCTTACTCTTCTAAGGCACCTGATCCCATCTCGGTGTTTCCGATGTTCAAGTTAGCTTTGTTCCCAATTTTTATTGTTTCAATGGGCTTTTGAGGCTAAATTTTAGAAATATTAAATTTAAGAAATGTGCATATTTGTAGAATTTTCTGCTAAATATCCTTCCACCACTATAGAAATAGTTCCTCATAAATCTTGCTTCTTTATGAATTTTCGAGCAGTTTTTCTAATTTAAATATGTAATAAGATAAGATAAGATAAGATAATATTTATTTAAAGTCGGGTACATCAACAAAGAACATTAGCTCTGAAGAGCTTTTTTCCGACTAAATAATAATGTTACATAAAATACAACAATCATACATAATAAACAAGAAACAGTTTTTAAATATTACATCGATATCACACTACTAAAATATCACTATTCCTCCGTGGTGCTTTACAAAGACATATTATTCACCACATTAAAACTGACAAATCTAAAATAACTTAAACCCTGTTTACTAGTTCAACTTTCTAAAAAATAAAATTAGCGACAGGCACAGCAATTACAACAATTTCCGTACCAACTATTTATGTTGGATTTAAACTGGTTAAAAGAAGTAATATTTCTAAAAGATTCTGGTAAAGAATTCCAAAGTTTTGCAGACTCATATCTAAAAGACTTCAACCCATATGTTGTTGATCTTGTTTTTGGTAAAACAGCAGTTTTTGTGTATCTAAAAGAATAAGGTGTTTCTTTGATATGAATAAAATCGTGCAGGTAAGACGGGCTTTGCTTGTTTAAAATCTTAAAACATTCTATGGCCATTGTTCTAATACGCCTGAGTTTGAGGCATGGTAATTTTGATTTGTCCAGAAGATAACTGTATGAATTTTTATAGTCGTCATAAACAAAACGCAATGCTCTTTCCTGTACTTGTTTCCATTTTTCTTGTTTCTCGTTCACCAC